GCTGTATGTGGTAGTGAGTCCAAAGGCAGCTCAAAGAAGGGCATGGTACAAGACAAGCCTCCCACTGCTTTCTATTCTTATTTGAGAAAGAGTCCCAGTCCACTGGTTCACTCTCCAGATGCTGCGGCAACGGGCACTGGGTCAGACCAAAGCTGTGCACTGGCAGTTCAATGCAAGCCCCCCATGTGGTGGCAGAGACCCAAGTCCTTGACCCATCGTTACTGCCTTGCAGGGTCTACACTGACAGGAAGCCAAAATCAGGAGCCAGAACCAAGTGTCACAGTCAGAAACTCCAGTGTTGTGTGCAGGTGTCTTAGGTGGCACCTTAACTGTTAGGCCAAACACCTGCTTGTTTTCCCTGGTGTTTGAAGGACAATGAGAGAGTTTAATTGGATTAAACAGGGACTCTGTGCAGTAAATATTTATTTTATATGTTCAACTTTCTGCTTATGACACTACCGTATGTCTACAGCAAGTGGGGTCTATGACGGTTGAAGCACATTTTATTCAGTCATTACAATAGAGGACACTGATCAGGTCACAGTGCTTCCTCAAATAAACTCATTATCTGATAGTCCTGACAGCAGACACACTACATGATCATTTCTGAGCAGTTTTTCATTCTGTGGGGAACATTAGCCTTTACCTGGAAGGTATGTTTGTTCGCACATAAGTGTGTTTTAAGCTGCATAAGCATGGTTTTTATATGATCTGGGTCAAGATTTCCAAACAGTAACTTATCTCGTGTCCCTTTAGGCCTCTGTTGTGTCTTGTGTACAATTCTCTTTTGAAGGACCCAACATGGTGGTCTAGTGCTGAATCCTCATGTTTTAAGAGTCAGGATCCCACGTGGGTGCCAGTTCATGTCTTGACTGCTCCCTGCTGTGGCCTGGAAAAGCAGCCGAGGAAGGCCCAAAGCCTTGGGATCCTGCACCCGTGTGGGAGACCCGGAAGAAGTTTCTGGCTTCAGATCAGCTCAGCTCCAGCCATTGTGGCCATTTGGCAAGTGAGCCAGTGGATGGAAGATCTTTCTCCTTGTCTCTTCTTCTCTCGGATATCTGCCTTTCCAATAATAATAATAAAATCTTTATATATATATAAACAATTCTGTTCTGCCTTATATCCCAGCTCCCTATTTGTGTGTGCTTGTCCTTCACTGAAGGGCGGGTCATCTTTGTATCCCTCCCGTCCCCCTCCCCAGTGCCAAGAACAACACTAAACACAATGAAAGATGTTCAACAAATGTGAATTGGATGAGTGAGTTAGTTAACGAAGAGCAACTTAAGTTTTATTTGCATGTGCACTTGTCGTTTCTGTCCTCAAGGGGACTCGAAGTACAGGAAAATGGTGTTAAGAAGAGACACTGTTTCCTTTGGAATAAGCCTTAGCTTTGTTGCTCTGCCACATATGAACAGTCTGATAGGGTGGAAGGAGAAAGGGCCTTGGGCTCAGGGAACCTCCCTTGCCATTTTGGCATTGTTATTGTGTCAGCTGCCTGGCCCTGGCTGGGTTACCTAAGTTTGAAAACTCCCAATTCTCTCATCTGTGAAAAATGAATACATCTCTTGGGATTCTTGGAGGGAATAAATGAAATGAGCTACGCAAGTGCCAAGTACAGTGACACACACATAGGCCATGCTCAGTAAGCGGAAGCTTATTGGAATCACTTGGAATACATGTTATTACTCTTTTTGCCCCAATCGTTGCTCATGGCTCCTAACTCTAAAAGCCTAATTAATAGATTAGCATGTAGGAAACATGTGACTGAGAGGTGACCACCTGGGGTTGTGAGGTTGTCACCTGCATCAAGTTCTTCATTTCAATGTGCCTTCCATCGCATACTGCCCACTGGTCCACAAAAGAGTGAATGAAGGCCTTAACAGGGTGCTTCACGGGGACTGAGAGTAACCTTCCTTCTTGTGTATAGTTATGCTCTTACATTCCCTGAAGTACAGTTCAAATTTTGTCACTCTTCTATTGAAAACCTTACATTAAGGACTCCTCACAGAATAGCCTAATAGCTGTAGTCCTCGCCTTGCACACACGGGGTTCCCATATGGGTGCCAATTCTAATCCTGGCAGCCCTGCTTCTCATCCAGCTCCCTGCTTGTGGACTGGAAAGAAAGTGGAGGACAGCCCAAGCCATGGGAGACCTGGAAGAGGCTCCTGGCTCTTGGCTTCAAATCGGCTCAGCTCCAGCTGTTGTGGCCACTTGGGAAGTCAATCAGTGGACGGAAGATCTTTCTGTCTGTCCTTCTCTCTGCATGTCTGACTTTCCAATAAAAATAGATAAATCTTAAAAAAAAATAATTCCTCACAGCCTACTGTGTTCACAAATGTGTCAACCTGTCAGATCCACACCATCACCAGCCTGCTTACTGGCCAAACACTGCTTTTCCACCTCTGGGTTTTTGTTCTTATTTCTTCTGCCTGTTCATCACTTTCCAGGCTACCTCTAATGCCATCTGTTTGTTTCTTTTGTGTCTGTTTCAAAGGCTGAGAGCCAAAAACGTGCAGAGAAAGATGGACAAAGAGAGCTCTTGCATCTGCTGGCACAGAGCCTGAGTGCCCACGACAACCAAGTCGAGGCACGACTGAAATCGGGAGCCCAAAGCTCAGGCTGGGTCTCTCACATGGGTAGCAGGGACCCCATATTGGCGCCATCAACTGCTCTCTACCATGGGGTGTCTTAGCAGGACAGCAGGCCGGGACCTGGATGCACCGTGCTGCCCTTAACATCTGTGCCAGATACCCCCCCTCCAACTTCATCTTCTGTAGGACCTCCTCTGACCATCTTCCTCAGGACTTCCTCCTTTGAATCCCCCTTCGTACCTTATACTTTTTGTTTGAATTTATTCACCTCAATTTATTCGAGAGCCAGAAAGCTCCCATCCTTTGATTCACTCCCCAAATGCCTGGGAATGAGCCAGCCAGGAGCTAGAAGCCAGGAACTTGACGTTTTGTCCATACTGGGCCCTTACCTGTTGCTTTCCAGGATCTGCCTTAGCAGGAAGCTGGATTGGAAGTGGAGCTGGGCCTGGAACCCAGGGAGTTGTGTTAGCTTAATGACTGGGTCAAACACACAACCTCTATGGTTTCTCTTTCTACAAAATAGTTGTTATGATACTACATGATAAGCTGTGCACTTAGTTTTCCTGGATGTTTGTGTCCTTGAACTTTAAAAGCTTATTATCTTTACTAACCTGGTGCCATCACCAAGTGTTTCATAACCACTCTGTTAGCTATTGTATGCAATATGTATTTTAGGTTAATTATTTGTATTACATGTTTAACATTGAGAATATTAAAGCAATTGGCCTTTGATTCTGTTAGGAATTTGTTGTCTTACTTCCTCAAGGTTGTATTTTTATTTGATGTGTTTTAACTTTGGATCGTTGGAAGTTTCCTTTCCTTGCTTCAGGTATTAGCCACATATGAATTAAGATCTGTTGTTGTTTGCAACTGAAGGTAGCTGTTTACTTGATTCTGAGCAGTAGTCAGCTAGAGACCGCTAACTGCATCTTCCAGAGCGAATCACCTGGCTTTGTGATCTAAACCGTTTCTATTTGTGAATAAATAATGTGATCTGCCTCTTTCATAGAGGTCCTTTCCATAGAAATTGCCACCTTCTGACGAACTGAATATTTTACTTGTTTGTCTGCTTGTCTGAAATCATTAGAATGGAGGTCTGTGACGCAGATATTTTAATTTATTGCTATACTCCCAAATCATAGAATAGCACTTAGCACATAGTAGGTGCTCAATAAATAATTGCTGCATGACCAACTAGAAAAAGTTGGGAAATCCTCTAATTTATTCCATTCGTAAGAGTCTTAAGGAAGTAAAGTATAGCTTAGAAGAGTGTCTTCTGTACTCACTGGCTTTTGTGTCTTTCTTTGAGTACCCTTGAACTTAATATATTTTTGTTTTCTTAAATGCAAGTAAAATGAGACTGCCAGTTCATGTCCTGGTTGCTTGATTTTAATAATCAGCTTCATACTGGTGTTCCTGGCAAGGCAGCACATGATAGCCCGCCCACTGCTGAGGTCCCTGTGCCGGAAAGCAGGAGGGACCTCCTGGATCTTGGCCTGAGCAGCCCTGGGGACCACAGCCATTTGAGAGAGAAGCGGTGGGTGGAAGATACCTTTTTGTTATTCTGCTTTTCAAATAAATAAATCTTAAAAGAACAACAACAACAACCTACCACATCATTCATTGTCAAATGATTCTGTCTCAGTTGGCTAACGTCTAAGAAATCCACTGAACAAAATCTAATGCAGGCCTGCCGACATGACTCGGAGGCATTTAAGAAGACTGCAACTAAAACAGTACAATGCAAATGCAGGAGCATTATCTATGTCAAAACCTTTCCTTTTATTTTCCTTAAATGCTGATAGTGACCCTGAAAATTGGTCGAATCAAGCTTCTGATGTGCATTTGGGTTTGCATTCAGTTTTCTGCACATACGACTGGGTTTAAACTGTGTTTGAAGCCGCAATGAAAAGAACTGAGTCACTGGTGATTCACGAGGAGCTCTTCCCTTCCTCTGCTGGAACTCAGGCCGGCGCCTGCAGCATGGCTGCTCTGGAACCTGAAAGCCTGAGGAAGCCTGCTTTGGTGTGGCAAGTTCTGCAAAAGCCTCCTCTGCCCCCTCTTTTTTTTGTTGTTTTTCTTTTAACGTTTAAATTGAGGCATTTGATATTAAGGCTTCCTCGTGGTGGGCACTCGTTACAGTGGACTTTCCAAATCTCAATATAAATTTCTCTAGTCTCTTCCTCTATGGACATTATCTCATACATGAAATGCTGCTGGCTCGCTTGCTTTGTTCATCAGTGAGTTTCCAACGCCTTAGACAAGACGGTTGTAAGCATTTGAGTGAGGACACTAACAATCATAATCATGCTTCCTAGAAAAATAGTAAAATTCTTTTAAAAAATTTTTTTTTACAATCTTTACATAGTTAATTAGGGTAAAAAGGTTCAAGGGCTGTAGGAAATTGGGTAAGACTATTATTTCCATATTGTTTCCAGAAAAATAGTAAAATTCTATTGAGACTTTTTTTTCTAATCCTTGTGAGGGTTCAGTTCTAGCCTAAGGTGCTTCTCGACTGTGAATCCATTGATCCTGCCGATCTTAAGTCTGCTCAGTGCATCCCTCCTGCAGAAAGAGGACCAGCGGGCACCCCCATAGGCACTCGCACCTGTGGGAACCAATGGGCGTTGTAACAGGAAATCACTTCAGCTTGCCTGTTCCGATAGATAGTAACGAGCAGCACCCAGGTCACGCTGCTTCAGTTTGCAGTTCCTTACTGGGATTACACAAGGTTTCTTGAAGATGTTTTATGATAATAGAAGCCTAAGAGAGAAGCAACTTTGAATTTGAACATGACTGTGTGAACAATTGTTCGCCTTTTCTTCCTGACCAAGGAGTTGGTGAGTCGTCTTCCTTTCAGTAAATGTCCTTCCTGTCTTCCCAATGTTCCATCTCCTGAAACCTTACTTGAGTACGCAGGGAAGGGGGGTGGAAAGTGGATAAATGTAAAATCAATAAAGTTGAAGCTGACGTTTTTTGCCAGTAACAGTTCTGTTTCCACTGACAGTAAACGCTGATAGAACATTGTACTTTTATTTATTTATTTATTTATTTAACATGAGATGTGCTTAGCTTGATTGAGCAGGTTTCCCACCCCCCACCCCCAGGGAATGGGAAAAAATTCTGGAAAAACATTTTAGAAAGTTCCTTTCTTCCAGAATGCTAAAATGGAAGTTGTATAAAATGCAATTGACGTGAACTGTCTGACCAGGAAGTGCTCTTTTAAAGGCTCACTTAGAAAAGTAAGTGTCTGTAATAACTTCCTGTCTCGGGATGAAGGTGCTGGTAGCCTGAGAGTGATCTTAGAACTCAAGTGGAGGGCAGTTTTATTTTTCCTGTAAGAGGCTGGATTTTTTTGTTTGTTTGTTTGTATTATAACCATTATTTTTAAAGAAAACCATATCTGGAACAATCTTACCGATCACTATAGCTAAATGAAGAATATTTAAAGACCTTACTTTAGTATGTGGGATTGAAAATACCAGTACGGACATGTATCTAAGAAGATTTAATGTGAGTAAGCTTGTTTGATGTTTCATTTCACATGGAATGTTTCCTTATAAATATGGTTTGGATCTAAACATTGTTTAGGAGTAATTTAATTCAACTTTTTGTTGAATGCCAAGTGAGTTTTTGTGATCTTAGCTCACAGTTCTCCTAAGAGTCATCAACTTCAAATTTTGGTTTCATATACTTTATATATTTTGACTTATAGTATCATGTCCTGCAAATAAATATTAGTTCTGATTTTTTTTAAATTTATTTTTCATCCCCCTGGATAGGTAAGGTTAATGCCCGGTAAAATATTCAAATCTGCTCAGCAGGGTCTTTTAAACAAAATATTTTAAAATATACTGAAAAGTCAGTATTACATGGCTGCAGTTTATGCTAATGAATGACATTCTTACTTAAAAACAGTATTTCAAAATTAAGCTACTCCAATTGGTGCTATTCATTTTAGTGCTCTTTAACAATGAGACCACTTCCTATTTTTCTTCTTTCACAAAGAGAGAAAAAAGGATCAAAATCTTGACCGTTACACCAGAGTTAGAGGCAGAATAATCAGTTTTGTTACATTTACTTTGTTTTGTAGCTTTTTTGTGTCATTTTAATGCATAAAGTTATGAAAGTGAAATGTCTTAGCCATGAGAAAATTAATAGATTGAGAAGTTATTGCAATCCATAAAATAAAATTAAAAGGAAGTATAAAAGTAGGTGATTTTTGATGTAACAGAGTTTTAACTTTAAAAAGTGCCATGAGCTAGCTTTATAAACAGGGTGAGTGTCTGTTATACTTTCCTTCCTGACTTCTCCAGGCTCTTGGAACAGCCTTTAAATGGAACGTGTAGGCTAGTATGTAACCCCGATGTCTGACCTGCACGTTAGATGTGTAAATTTCATCTTTAAAATTATACCTGGGATGCATTTTCATTCAATAAAAATTACAATGTATTATATTGACTTGGGGTGGGAGATCATCTATTGGTTTTAGTGTATAAAGACCAAATAAAAAATTTCTAATAATCTTTGAAATGTGTTACCATAAGGCATGTGCTTTTTCCTTAAAGTCTGTGAATGTTAAAGATTTCAAATGGCCAAGTGTGTGTATTTCAGCTCTGATAGGCAGGGCGCAGATGACGGCGGTGTTCTGGGTCCAGAAGTATCCCAGCCATAGCTGGATGGGGGTGGGGCAGAGGAAGTGGGTAGTGCTTCACAGTGACAGATTATTGCAACTGCATGGCTGCCTGCCAAAGCACCACTAGCTGAAGGGAATAGTGGAAGTTACTGTATTCATTTGTGTGTGTTTACTTAACCATTTGAAGGTGCCTATTGGTTTCACATGCAGATGAAATTGCTAAACTCTTGCTCATTAGCTGACATGTGCTTGGTCATCTATTCTGCGGTCTACCTTGGTCATTTTATCTCTAGTCTGCAAAGATCACACCGCCTCTTTTACGGAAGGTCATAGGCTGATAGAAAAAGGATGGGGGAGGGGAGGCAAAACTTAAAATGACCCATGCTTTTATTTTTTAACGAAGACCATTGAAGAGTTAAAAGATGTAAGGACATCCCACCATAGTTCGATAATTTCTGTAGAATGCTAGTACAAAGCAGTCACCTCCTGTGAGGGAGTTTGTAGTTCTAGACTGTTCTCATTTGGTCAAGAATTGAAATTCTTGAGTTGCTGTCACATAATGTAATGTAATCAATAAAAAAATAATATAACAAAAAAAAAAAAAAAGAAATTCTTGAGTTGCAACATGAAAAGAAGGTTTGTGGAAGAAATACGACATCTCTGCCCAGAAGTGTAAGGAGGGAATTGCAGTAAAGTTATTTTTGGAAGTATCTTCCTGTGAATATATTTTATGTACCAAGAAGTGTTTTTAAAAACTGACGTTCAGTCACTGGGTGTGCCTGCTGCTATAAAGCCATTGGCATCCTGGCTTCAGCTTATTATTTTACGGTTGCTTGCACAGACTGGTTAGGTATATTGTCATTTTGAGGGACAATTGAAGGCTTATTGGAACATAATGTTAGTAAACATACAATATTGTATTGTATTTCATACAATATTAGATTTAAGAAAATGGTACATGAGAAAATATTTCAATGATTGTAAATTTTTGTGGGAAGTTTATGATAACTTGAGAATTACACTTGTTTGAATCAAGTCAGCTCTTTTAGAGAATTCTGCCATAATATTTACTTCTAACTTTATACTAAAACAAAAACAAAAACAAACAAACAAAAAACTTGCTTTCACTGGTGAGAGGTATACAAATTGCTCAGGTCACAGGGATATTCAAAGAAAACATTTTTTCAAGCATTTTGATATTAGTACTAATCTTAAACTGGCTGATCCAAGTAGTCGCTTTCTTTTTTAAGTATGACCAAATTAAGAAGATAACAAGATCCTGTCAATATCATCAACCAATGACACAGGAAGGAGCAGTTAAACTCCCGTTGCAGAGTGCGAGAGAGATCACACTGGACCCAAGTGTAGATGTCAGGGGGATTTTTATTGCCCAAGCTTGGTGACAGCAGCTCCCGCTGCACTCCAGGGACCAGGGCGTTCAAAGACATGGGTTTTTAAGCTCTCATCCTCCAATCAGATTCTCTATCTCTCCTCCTCTCTGTACATCTGCCTTTTCAATAAAAATAAATAAATCTTTAGAAAACAATAGATATGGAAGAAACAACACAGTACATATGGAATATTTAATCCAAGACACAGTTTGAATGTCATATGTACATTTCAGAAAAAAATGATTAATCTCTAACTGGGGTTTAGAATATTTCACAACACAGTACTATTAGATTTTTATAGTGTATTTATTTGTTGATTGATAGTATCCAAGATTATACTTCTTTCCTATCATATTATTCAAAGAAAGAGAATGGCATTTCCTTGTGCTTCTATGGGGGTGATAGAATTCTAACCTTTAGTATTTCAAATCTTGAAATAAATGTACTACTTTATTACTTGTATAACAAGCTCTTTTCAGTATGTTAGAGAAAATGTTTACCAGCCTTCATGAAAGGATCAGACTCAAAGTTAGTTCCTGTTGTGCTAATAAAACTCTCACTGATCAAACTTACAAAGTAGTGTCTGTTAGCAAATTAGATCCTGGTCTGTAGCTGACAGCAGCAGGATATGTCCTGTGCTAGCTCTCTCATTGGAAACACCAGTTGATAGTATTATCAAAGTTGCCTGCTTTCTGCAAAGATAAGGAAGCCACAAGGTCCCTCCCAACTCAGTACCCTGTGATTTCAAGCTCATTTCAAAGGACGGAGCAACTGTCTGGTCAAAGGAAAGCAGTGGGACTATCAGGGTACGCAAATGAGGACAAAGAATTTTTTTTAAATGTGCTAAAAGCTTGTCATTGTGGGACAAACATCTGTTCCCGCAGTGAAGATGACGCTGGTTAGCATGCCCACATCCCACATCAGGGCACATCAGGGCACCTGAGCTGGATTCCTGGCGCTGGGAGACAGCGTTAGCCCCTGCCACCTGTGATGAGTCCAGCCCTGTCTGTTGAAGCATCTGGGAAGTGAACGAGCAGAAGGCCATGTGCTATCTATATGTTTGTGTTTCAAAACAAACGAACAAAAAATCTACCCACTGTTTTTTTTTTTTCTAATTTTGCTCAGTTTGACCATGTGTCCATACATTTGCAGCATATGGTTATAAACAAAGCAAATGGGAGAGTTACTTTATTTTGCCTAGAATGGATTATATTGAACTCTTTTTTACTCTTCTTCCCTCTCTATCCTGGTGAATGGTTTTCTGTTTGGGATTGGAGTAGGGAGGAAAGTACAGGAGAGGACAACAGAGAAGCTGTCACTTCATCCTAGTGTTGCCGCTCAATGGGATCTCCACAGCCTGTCACAGTCGTGTGTGTGTGTGTGTGTGTGTGTGTCTGTGCACGCGTGCACAAAGGGCAAAGGTGTGGTGGTCTAGCAGCTTCAGCAGCCACTCTGGTCACCTCGGTTCCCTATCAGAGTGCATGGTTTGAGTCCCAGCTACTCCGCACTTGGTATCCAGCTCCCTGCTACTGCACATGTGGAGAACCCTCGTGGGATTCCGGGCTTCTGACTTTGGCCTGCTCCAGCCCTGGCTGCTGCGGGTATTTGGAGAATGAAACAAAAGACAGCTTTCTTCCTATGTGACTCTTTCTGTCACTCTATCTTTCAAATGAAAAGGAAATACATGCAAACTACCTATGGTTCTTTCAGGATTATAACGTACTCTCTGCAGAGGTCAGTGTTACAGTTACTGAAGTTTTATCTAACTTGTTGGCAGAATGATCATCTTGTGTCTTAAGAGAAATAAGTGCAGTTGCTCATTTACAGAATAGTACGTGGAAATTAATATTAATACATTGCAAGATTTAGTGAAGCAGAAAGAATGCTTTTTCTTTCAAAATTTAAAAATTAGGAAAAGAATTTCAAATTTAAAACTATAAACTAGTGTGCTTAAATTGGAGAAACCTGCAGAAAAATACAACTGAGATGCTCAACCAATATGTCTAATTCATAGCCCTGTTCATTGCACGGATTTATTTTATTTTTTAAGATTTTTTTTAAGACACAATTTTTTTTAAAGATTTATTTATTTTTATTGAAAAGTCAGATATACAGAGAGGAGGAGAGACAGATAGGAAGATCCTCCATCTGATGATTCACTCCCCAAGTGAGCGCCTGCAACGTCCAGTGCTACACCAATCCGAAGCCAGGAGCCAGGAACCTCCTCCAGGTCTCCCACATGCAGGTGCAGGGTCCCAAAGCCTTGGGCCATGCTTGACTGCTTTCCCAGACCACAAACAGGAAGCTGGATGGGAATTGGAGCCGCTGGAATTAGAACCGGAGCCCATATGGGATCCCGGCACGTTCAAGGCTAGAACTTTAGCAGCTAGGCCACGGCGCCGGGCCCTCCAGTCTGGTTTTTGTACTTGCAGGTGAGCTAAGGTTTGCTTGGCCCTACCCAGTCTGCCCCCTTCCAAAACCAACCA